CAATCATATCTTCCTCTTCTCTTTCTCTCTCTCGTCTCCCTCTCTCTCCATGAATGATTACATGGTATCAGAGCAAGGTTCTGGGCTATAAAAAAATCGGTTTCTCCCATTTGAACCTGCTTCGTCCTCTTTTCTTCTTTGATTTCTTGGACGTGGAAGACAGAGCAACACTAGCAGACTACTTGCGGCTCTTCCTTTGGGTTATTCCTTGGTCATAATATCAATGAGACCCTAGTAGAAGAAGGGCGATGCAGAAAAAGACTCCCTTTCTTATCTGTTCGATGCTGTGAAGTTAGTTTCTGGTTGGCACCTTCGTACAGGTGCTGGACAGGGTATGTGTTCTTGTTTTTTTTTTTATGGCCAATGGTGTGAAGGCCTTATTTCTTGGTTTTATACCTTCGTTTGGATGCTGGATTGTTAGATTGCATGGGCTGTAGTCGGACTGCTAGTATACCATTCTAACGGCTGGAGTTGGACTGATTACTGGGCTGTTTTAATGACTGAACCATCACTGAGTTGATTTCAGCAGTTTTTTTTTTTTTCCCACATTCCAGAAGTAAATTCCTTGAGGGTTGGTATTCTGATTGTGGCTGTTGTGTAGTTGTGTGGGATTTGGTCTGATTCAGCAGTACTCTATGGCAAACTATGATTCAACTTCATCGGGGGTTACACCAACCCGCAGCACAACTGGTATGGGAAATGAAAACATGATGTTTCCCATGCCCATTACCCCTTTAAATGGTCTAAACTACCAAGAGTGGGCTAAAAGTGTAAAACTTTATGTAATGGCAAGGAGAAAAGCTGGTTACATAAATGGAAGGGTGAAAGAACCCAAGAGTGAGACAGCTGAACATGATAGGTGGGACCAAGAAAACAGTATGGTGATGTCTTGGCTTCTTGCAGACATGGAACCTGATGTGAAGAAGAACTTTATGTGGGCAGACACCGCTAGTGAGATTTGGGAATAGGCCAAAACAACCTATTCTAGGCAAAGGCAATATGCCAAGGTTTACCAGTTGCAAGCTGAATCCTCAACCTGTAAACAGGGAAATCGTAGTTTGTCTTCCTATTATTCAGCCCTTACTTCCGTATGGAAAGAGTTGGGTCATTATCAGGCTATAGAGTGGAAACATGATGACGATGCTAAGGCCTACAGGAAGCTGATTTCTCAGCAGCGTGTGTTTTCCCTTCTTGTTGGGACTGAACCCTGCCTATGAACCCTTGAGAGTTCAGATCTTAGGAAGCAAAGAGTTGTCGTCGATTCACGAGGTATATGCCCTTGTTCAATCGGAAGAAAAAGAGGCAGAATGTGATGGTTACAACTGAGGGGGAGCAACAAGTTACTTTGGCTGCAATGAGTAATAACAACATGGGGAAGAAAAGTGACACCAAGAAGGCTAATGATAAACACAAGTTGTTTTGTACCCGCTGTCGGTGCTCACGGCATACACGTGACACATGTTGGGACATTCACGGGAAACCCAAGTGGACAGTGAAGAACCAAGAACAGGGTAAAGGGCAAGGTCAAAAGAAGATGAACACAGCACATAATGCAGCACATGTGGCAACCCAAGATACTCAGGTTGTCGGTACTACCCAGGACCACCTTAMTAATTCTGACCCCAAGGAAGATATAATGAATTCCTTCAGAGACCACTTGGAGTCATATGGTAGGGCTTCAGTCACTGGTACTCCTTTTACATCATTTGCATCTACATCAGGTAATGCAGCTTCTGCATTCCATGTCGCTACTACCACTGGTTCCCCTTGGATCATTGACTTGGGGGCCTCTAACCACATGACCAGTAAGCCGAACTTGTTTCAGACTTATAGCCTTTTGTCAGGAAGGGATAAAGTGAGGCTTGCAGATGGATCATTCTCCTCCATTGCAGGCCAAAGATCAATATCTCTTCCCCATGGCCTTAACCTGAATTGTGTATTGCATGTCCCTCAACTTCCTATAAATTTGCTTTCAATTAGTAGTATCACAAGCTCTTTGAACTATAGTGTAACATTTTTTCTTGGTTCATGTGTTTTTCAGGATCTAACTTCTGGGATGATGATTGGTAGAGGGAGCCTAGTGGATGGTCTCTACATTCTCAACAACAAAACTGGTCTCTCAGTGTCATCCTCAGAGTCACATAGTCAATCAAATAAGAATCATATTTTTTTGTGGCATAGTCGGTTAGGTCATGTTTCTTTTGAAATAGTAAAGTCTTTGTTTTCGGTTTTATTTAAGTCATGTTCAATGTCAGAGTTCCATTGTCAAACGTGTCAGTTGAACAAACAATGTAGAACAACTTTTCACTCAAATAATAAAAGATTAAGTGTTCATTTTCATGTTGTGTATTCTGATGTATGGGGGCCTACTACTATAATCTCTGAGGGCGGATACAAGTACTTTATCACATTGATCGATGACTACTCTTGCTATTCATGGGTATTCCGTATGCGTAGTAGAAATGAAGTTCCAAAGATTGTGAAAGACTTCCAGAGGATGGTATTTACGCAATTTCATGTTGAAATACAGATCTTCCAATCCGATAATGCAAAAGAATATATCCATGGTGAGCTCAATGAGTTCTTTGCCTCCCACGGGTCTCTTCATAGGAGCTCATGCGCAAGAACACCACAACAAAATGGTGATGCAGAAAGAAAAAACAGACACCTCCTTGAGGTAGCTCGCGAGATGATGTTACACATGAATGATCCAAAAAGGTTTTGAATGGATGCTATACTTGCAACTACTTATGTCATCAATCGCATGCCCTCCAGAGTGCTGAACTACATGGCCCCTCATCAGTTGTTGTTCCCTCAGTCCCCTTTATTTTCCATTCCCATGAGAGTTTTT